ATCGTTCAAATGCATGTCATCACTTGACTTGGACGAGCTTGGTGAATCGTAGCCCCGTTTTATTTTCACTTGCGGGTCAAACGTAATTTGGCTGCACGCGTGCTAAATACAACTTCTGGTATCGTTTCCGGGTGGTCTAGCTGTTGGTTTCGGTTTTTTTTTCATAATCAAATTGATTGATCAGATTTGGGCAAGGACTGGATGGAAGTAGTTTAATATCGTTGGCACAGCATCACACCTCAGCTTACGAGCCTTCTGTCCGCTTAGAGCTCAGCTCGTAGCTCTCTTCTGTGAGATGATTGCATAAGGGGGATCTCGGATCTTGACGCAAACCCAGTCCCTACGCACGGCGACGATCCATTTTGCTCGTCACTGCACGTTTTGTGGAAAAGTGTGGTGTTGGCTCGCATGTGCTGCCCGGTGGTTGTGGCACCCAACCGCACAACAAAAATCTCACTTCACCACGGAACAAGTTGAGCACAACAACAAAAACGAAGCACGCTGAGGCGTTCACTCGCAGGTAAACGACGAGACAGAAATGCTCGTTTTGTGTTGTGTGATGTCAGAGCTCCAATGTTGCCACCGAAAGCAGCGTTTACACCAGAGTGCGTTTGAAGCAGTATAAATTCAATTACTCATGCAGAGAGGCATATAAAATTCAGATATTGCACGTACGATGGGTCTCGAGGCAATAGCAATGATATTCAATTGTTTTCTCGAATACAAAATTTGACCGGGCAATCCCTTTAAGTATAAAAGTATGGGATCATTGTTCATGTTTGTAGCTGTGCAGTAGGAAGGTAATGACAGTTGTTCTAATGTGCGTGATCACAAGAGGCATCAATTTTAGAAGAAATTCTAGGCTACATATACTAATAATAAATTCATGCGTATCTTTAGATTATACATATCACTAGATTATACATAGATTACCCCCTAAAAGTGTTGAAAATCTGCAGCTATATACTTGGGGTTGAGCATGAATAAAAAAAATGTCATGGGGAAGCGAACCGTCAAAATCCGCCTCCCTCCCCGCTTTTATTAAATTTTATTTCTTCAAAAGTGAGATATGTCTGAACTTTCAGATATAAAGTATCGTCTTTTGCACGGTATGCTCCACAACATATACAGATTTGAAGATATGTTTGCGTGTCGTAGGAAATTAAAATTTGCTGATTTTGACAGTAAACTTATTGCTTATAAAAGTTTTATTAGGCCTGTGCTCGAATAAGCTAGTTCAGTGTGGTGCCCTTTCACACAAAAGTGTATTAACAAGCTTGAAAGTATCCAAAAGTTAGCTGCTCGGTTTATTTTTTAATGATTATCATAGGGAAACATCGCCCACCGAATTAGTTATTAGAGCGGAGCTTCAACCGTTGCAAATGAGAGCGAAAATTGATAGATTAAAATTTCTGTTCAATATTCTTAATGGCACTCTTCATGTTCAAAGCTCTAGCTATATACAACCATTATCGACCGGGTCCTCACGTCTAAACCACACAAGAGCGTTAAAACAATACAGGTTCAAAAACAACTGTTTTAGATATTCTTTCTTCCCTCGGGCAATTCAAGAATGGAACGAGTTACCAAATGATGTCGTCGTCAACACAATTGTTGCTAATTTTGTATCTGCTCTTTGAATTTATACTTAATTGAGTTTTCATTTATAAATCTGCATCTTGTTTACATGTTTTGTACCCACTGCTACCATGGCCCCTTGAGTGGAGCCAGTAGTATTCCTAAATAAAAAAAATAATAATAATAGTGGCCCACTGCCTAAACCCAAACAATACAGAAAAAAAAACAAAAAAACTTTAATTACCTTTTTTTGGATTACTGTTCTAGCAACAAATTGGTTTATCACTGGGTCAAAACAGTTGGGCTAAGGTAGATGTTGCAAAAATGGTACCGGACGAGCTTGCACTATTTCAGTTTGCTCGAACTCGACCTACAGTAAGGTTCTAAGGCTAATGTGAAACTGGCCCAGTTGGCATTTACTTGTTGAGGCCTTTCTTGCAATAGTCCAGGGGTGGCCAAGCTGCGGCTCTTCGCGTATTAAAGTGCGGCTCGCGGCGCCCTCCCCTCTCCCCCCTTGCACTTCCCCAAAACAAGAAATAGACCGCGTTTTAAATCGAAAGACAGGTTGCGGTGTGGTAGTATTGTGCTTCTCCTACCTTACGTAGAGTTGGACTGCTTTTTACACGGATAGATTGAGAGCAGTTGGAGTTTCGATTATTGCTCTCGACTAAAGTTTGTACACTCCCCCTGCAGCTCTTGGAAATTTCGTGGTTTTGTTTGCGGCTCTTAGGCCGGGTCAGCCTGGCCACCCCTGCAATAGTCCGATAGTGTACGCTTCGTTTCACCTTAGGTCCAGACGCAGACGCAGCTGAAGGGATCACTCAGAGACCGTCAAAAGTGCACCATTATGGCATTCGTCGCGTTGTGACTACACTTTTGACGTGGCTCGATTGCTTCAATTACCTTGTAGCATCGGCTGCGTTTGGACTTAAGCTGAAATGAAGTATAATTAGCATGCAATTTTTCATGAATGTTCCTCTTTTCCTTGGATGGGTGGTTTGCCTCGTGATGGCTGGCAAATTTCACTTACTCTGGTGGTTTGATAAGATCTGCTCTTGAGATAGGGCTTTGAGGCCGATTAGCATTCCCTTAGTGTATATTTGGGCCTACTCGAGGCCAGTGATCTAAAGGAGGCACTAGTCCGCAATAATGGCTGACGGGAAAATGTTTAGTCTCTTCATTCAGCGTGCAAAAATTCCAAATTTCTCGAATTTCGTCGGGATGCGAAATCACCAAAATCCTTTGTCTAGGCGGTGTTCAAAGGAATGATGCGGTGGCAGCGCGAAAGCAATTAGTCCCTGGCAGGGGCGAGAATGACCTAGCGAGTCTATCGTGATAACATTTGAGGATTGCATGATGCCGCTCCAATCAGTAATGAAATAAGTGTGACTGTGGTATAATTTTTAATATGATAAGCTGCAGTGTGCTCGAAGGTGGTGAAAAGCTAGAAGCCATAACACCCACTGTGTTTAGTTGACTCGGCAGAGAACCTGTAGTTCTTATTATTCGTTTGCGATTGGGGTCTGAGCCTCGGAGCACTAGGAGACGTCCATGTATTATGAAGAATATTTGTGGAGCACTGCACTGTTTCAGTCATTATGCCAGTGCTTATGTTCCGCGCCCAGGGATTCATGCATTTTCACACTGTTTGCTTTCATCTAACTTGGATAATGGTGAAGTCTATGGCCCCTGTGAGCCGATCGGTGCGTCGGAGTACCCTCCTCTTGCATGGAGATGTCACAGTTTGCTGTAGCTCTAAATGATTTGAGGGGTTGTAGCATTTGCCCTTTTCCTAGTTAAGGTGAAACGAAGCCTAGTCGTGCATCATTTTCAGTATTGCGTGATGGTGCCATTGTCTAAGCTAGTGAAACATGTAGAACTCATAGTGCTCCAGTCAGAATTTGGCACGTACAGCATAAGGATGCTCTTTGGGATGGTGCCCTCCCCACGTGACAAATACCTTCTCGTGGCGAAATGCCGCGGAAGGCAGTAAGAAATGTGTAACACGCGCTTCAGAGGGCGACCTGTACAAAAGAACATTTAAATAGGAAGGAAAAGTACCTAATTGAGGAGTAAAATTTTAAACACGTCCCGATGGGAATCGACCCCATGACTACGAGCCCGACACTACCACGCGCCAAAGGGTGCGAAGAGGAAACGACCAGTCAACTCGCTGACCGAACGCCGGCTTGTGGCGTTCGCATCTGTACAGTGGGTAGAAGCCAGGGTGGCTTTTTTTGGGTCTTGCCACCAATTGTTCCAACCAGAGCTTGGTGCTGAGACGTCCCCGCTTGCCCCATCTCCTCCTCTTTCTCAGATTATATCCGTGTGATTGAAGAACATTAAATAATATAACCTCAAAGTCCATCACAAACTCCGAAGAAGGTCTTTTAAACGCGTGTGTATACATTCATGTCTCGTCAATATGGATACACCGCTCTAAGGACACCCTTTTCAGGAACAGACGGGAAAATGCACTTTTTTTCCCTCGTTATTATGGGCAACTCGCATCATGAACGACTTAAAGGGAGAAACTAAGGTGTCCATATTAATCAGACATCACTGTACACACTTCATTCATGGGATCAAGATTTTTATTTTTCCTTTAAAATATTTTTTTATAATGTTCATTTTTTAGAATTGCTTCTACGAGATTTTAATGGGAGCATGTGTTGCGACTTGCTAGCGTTTTCTTTTTATCTCGGATAAATAAGATGGGACACTGGTTAACTGTTTTGGCATCCCTGCTTATTTTTTATTTTGTTGTGGCATTGCTGAATGCTTTCGTGAACCTCGATAAACGAGCACATGAAATGGTGTTGGCTACGAGGACCAAGCAGTGAACACGGACGACCGTGGCGAAAAGATCTCTTTTGGTGGTGGTGCCTTGCGGCGTGAGTCTTTTCTATATAGTCGTGAATAGGTTATGAAGAAAACTTGAGCTGAAGAGGGCTAAAAGATAAGTCCAATTTCGTCCAATTTTTTTGTGTGGATGTTTGGATATTGGGATGTCTACTGGTGTCTATCAGTGCAGGTGTATATGTCTCATGCTTCTGTCACTCAAGAGATGTCTTTTCTACTAAACTTCATGTGTAGCTTCATAATAGTTGGGGAAAAGGGGGAGTTTGGAGCTTTGGACCTCTAAGTTGGTTTTGTGGCAGTGTCAATTTCAGATCAAGCTTGAATTCCGGCCGAGGTGCCCACAATCTGACTAAGGAAGGCTTGTTGCAGAGAAGGTGTCGTAACCCAGATTTCAGTTGCACGTCAAAAGATCCGTCTGGTCGAAATGAATCCTCTGCCCTTTGTTGGTCTGGCACGTAAAACCCTCAATTTCGCTTAAAGAGTATTGAGCTTTTAACTAGCATTTCATTAAAGGTTTTCCCATGCGAGGCTTATGTGGAAGACGTTGTGGGGCGGTGCAGGTGTGCTTGGCATCAAGGTGAAGATCATGCTGCCGTGCGACCCCAACGGCAAGCTGGGCCCCAAGAAGCCGCTGCCGGACCACGTCACCATCATGGAGCCCAAGAAGGAGCCCAGGAAAGAGGCGTCGGCCGTCGAGAACTTTGCCGAGAAGGCGGCCAGCGAGAAAGCTGCCGCTCTGTCTGCCCCCGCCTGAGGGAAGCCCCCAGGCGGCGGACAATAAACGTTTTGTCTCATGCTCGCTCGTGTGCACGTGTGTTTGCCGCTGCTAATGCATTGTTTAAATTTTATTGTTTTAACATTTATAATAGTGCCTTTTTAATTGCTTTGTGTCGGACCATTAAGCGAGATATACAGGGAGTTTCTGAGAAAAGAGAACCTCCGTAAATTAACTATGCATCACAAAAAGCTCAAACTCTGTGAAAATGTGACACTAGTGGTTGGGATACATTGCGAAAGTTTGAGAACATGACATTACCCGAGGAAAAACCATTTCTCTGAGCAGACGTCCTCTTAAACCTAATGTCAAAACAAAAAGTCATTGTGGGTAGCTGCAGCATTGATCTCAATGAGACAAACTTCGGAAACTTTTTGCGAACCTGTGGTTCGAAGATCAAAACAAGGGGTTCAAAATGTTTGCAATGTTTTGAAATGTCAAACTTATTACATAAACAATTCATGATTTCAAATTTTTGACGTCTGGAAATTCGATTGTTTTCAGACTTTTCACACTACATAAAACATTTTTGAGCTTATCACACTAAAAAAAAAAATTCAACGATCTTCAAAATTTCAAACCTGTCAAATTTAAAAGGTCGACGAACTTCCAACTTATGAAAAAGAAGTTTGAAGTTTACCTTCATAGTTTGTCATTAAATAAACTTTGCTCAGATATGGCCATGCACTCGAGTCCGGACATATTTTTTGTTTTGTTTCAAATGTTATCTCTCGACATGTTTAGGGAACGTAAGCATAGGAAGATCGAGAAAAACAATATGAAGAGAAAAATATACCATACGCGAAATGTAGAGGGCCATCTAGTAGCGCGCCGAGAACTACGTCTGCCACCTTGGTAGCGGCGAAAAAACGAAACCAGTGACCCGACGACCGGCCAAGACCCCATGTAAGCATGCGACCGCGCTTCGATCAACCTTCGAAAGCATAAATAGGGTTCAAAATTTTTCTTATTTTTATTTGTTAATTGCGACTTGATAAAAAAATTGGTGACCATGCGAAGAAACATGCGGACGTTATCGCGCGGCGTGAAGCCATGTACGACTTTAATATCTTCTTACGACTATTGATTGTTTTCTAATCTCACAAAGTTGTACCTAACTTGTTTCTAGACATTTTTTTTATAGACTTGGTAGTGTTGGTCTGCTTTTTTCTTGATGCGCAAGCAGCTCAATGCGGTCGGAAGAGAACAAGGCAGTTAAGCTAGGCAAAAATATGAGAGTTTTAATACTATCTACCAACCATAATTGAAGATGCGTATGGTTAACAATAAATAACCAAAGCTGAAAGTACCACAGAGCCCTCATCTTAATCTCATTGTTAAAAAAAAAGTAAATTGGAAAGCCAGAAAAAATTCATTGTTTTGCAGCGATTTCTATACACTTGATCTGGCGTTGGTAAACGAGGTTTCTAAAACCTATAAAACTAAACAGTTCGTTGATAAAATATTCTTGAATATTTATAGCGCGGTCATGTAGAATAGAAATCACAACACACAGACGACGTGTCTGTTTGCTCAATGCGAAGGGCAAGTTCGTCTGCTTCTTGCGCAGGGGGTAGCGGTGACGTCAGAACGCCGAGCCCTGATTGGCTGATCGCGACCCCCTATCTGAGCGTCGTCTGCTCCTTTGCAACGTCGTCTGCTCCCAACGTCGTCTGCGTCTGTCTTACCTTTCCTGCGAATTTCGGAAGTGCAGAGGCTAGATTCACGAAACGATTAACGCCAAAACTGCGTAAGACAAAACTTAAGAACAAATTCGTATGCACGAAACGAAATTTTCGTAAGTTTTGCGCAGGTTACGACGAAATCCTACGGCAGCTCCGAAGCTGTCTTACGCACTTCTTACGATCAAATCAGCATGGCCGACAGCGTCGCGGTCGCGACGACCCACGGACGTTTATTTTTCTACGTGCACTTCTCACGCGTCCTGACTTCAAGCAGCAAGAAAAAAAAGTAATACCCCTGTCAGACGGCAGCTAAAATGGCATTTACGCCAAATGACATTCAGTGTAAATGTCATTTAGGCACTGCCACACGGCAACTCAAATGGCATTTAACCTAAATGCCATTTCGGGTAAACAGAGTTCCCCAAACTCATTTACGGCTCGCAAAGCGTACTCTCGATGGCAGCGCTTGACACATATTACGGGATTGTTTTAAAAAAAGAAGGCATATATTGCGGAAACAATTTTTTATATCGTTTTAATTACGAAAATAATTTCTTTAACGCGTATTTCGCACGCACTTTACGTCCCTAATTGTTTAACCTACTCACGACTCCAGTTATCCAGTAGGCCTAATGGCTCTGAACCGCTGAACCGCTGAACCTGTCGCGAGCTCGCCTCGGTCGGCTCTCGGTTCGTTGGTTCCACTTGCGATGCGCTCCCCATTTACGCGTTTTTACGATGTCGGAAGGAGCGCCTCCCGGCAAAAAAAGGCGACCTGTCCCGCGAGACGTCGTACTCAAACTAGGTGAGACGAGCACACGAGCACCTCGAATGTGTTCGGTAGCAGAAGCGGAACGGCGGGTACTGCACCGGCCTATGGGCGATTTTAGAAGCCCTCCGTTTTCTCAAGATATACGTCGCACTCCATCACAATACCGAAACCTCAAGGAACATTTCTGGGTAAGATATAACTTTCACGGTGGGCATAACCAACAGGAGCACGCGAAACAATTAGCGGAGCGGACGGCCGTCTAGTATTCGTTTTGTGTGTGTGGGTCGTCCCAGCACTGCGTACCTCGAACGAGTACTGCGTACCTCGAACGAGTTCATCGCACGACCGGCTTGGTCGTGATTTATACTAGCTTACTTCGCCTAGCAGCGCTTTAAATTTCGCGTTTGTTGCTCTGGCAACAGCTCGCGAAGTTACTTGAATCTTTACTTGGCTGCCGCGAAGTAGAGATTCTGGGAAGAATGCAAGACGACAAAAAGTGGTTACTTTTCTTTAAGTGGTACAAATCTTGTAAATTCCCTGTTGTAATAAACGTAGTGTAGGTATTCGCCACCATGACTTCCTACCGGCTTTTACATTCCCATTGACATTCTCCAAAAAGAAATAAAAAGAAATGCTGCGTGAAGTCAGTCTCTCAATGTTTCTATTTCTAGCTTTCTTTGATGTTGGATAATCCCATACTGTTTCAAAGCGAAATATGCTACGTGTGTTTACATGATACATGCACAATTTTATTCCAAAACATCCTAAAAATTGTTTAATAAGGTATTGAGCACCTTTTTCGCAAGGGCGCCGCCATCTTGAATTGTAACTTCCAGTATGGGCGAAAACATTGTTTTGCCGCCGCCACGCCAATAGAAGGCATTTAGGACATAAACGTAACCATCACGCATTCTCATTTTGCCTCCCCTCTATTTTTTACTATTTGCAGGTTGAAACGTTTCGACATTTTTTCGTCGCCCATACCGGATATGCCTACTTCGCGGTCGGGGACGAGAGTAAGCGGAAAAGGTCTATACATTGGATACAGTTGCTGCAGAGTTGTTTACGTGTTCCAGAAAACAGCTGCTGCTGGGCGCCACCATAGAAGTAGGCAAAGTGAGTTGGCTACATTACAGAGGAATCTACAAGTTCCCGGGATCACTGTCTCTAAATAAGTGGCAGTTTCTTGCAGCCATGGCCACTTTTGTGACATTCTCCTCACTTGTTTTCAGACGTGCAGTGTGAAAGCATCGCAGAAAGCAACCTGTGTGAGGTACCTTCTAGAAGAGCAGCAATAAAATAATTGTGTAAGGCTGATGATGACAGTGCAACAGCCAGCATCAAGGCTACCACTGGTATTGACCCCAAGATACCCGAGACTAGTGGCAATGTCAGTGATGGTGCCACGAGTTCCAGAACAGGCCGACGAAGCAGTGGTATAAGGGCCGGCACAAGCAGTAATGTGCAGCTGAGCTGACAAGAGTGAAAAGGAAAAGGCCACATAGCCATAGAAGCTGCTTCGGCTCGTTGAAGCAGCCCGACATGCCCCACTAGAGCACTCGGAAGATGCGAGTCGCAGTAGCAGTGCCACGAAATGTTGGAGAAGCAACTGCTCGCATTGCGCAGAAGGTCGAGCGGTTAACTACGTTCAGTAAAAAAGAAGGTCATCGTCTTAAAGACGAAAATCGATTTCGTCGCTGCAAATCTTATGGAGGCGAAGGAATTGTGAGAAGGGAATAGAATTGATTTGGGATCTAGGATAGATCAAGGAGTAAAGAAGGTAGCTATGGCTCCCAGTGGGTTTATAGTGCACAGAGGTGTGTCACCAGTGACTTTTAAGTCTAGGAAGCTGACAGCGCATTTCGATATCAGTGAGGTGAACTTGAGGGAGGGGTAGGCGTTACAGAGTGCAGACCACCACATTTCCACCCTTATCGGCTGGCTTGGTTACGAGGTTAGTGCGGTTTCGAAGGGATTTTAGAGCGGTAACTTCTTGTGGGGTTGAGTTCAGGTATTTAGAGATTCGTTTGCTAGAGGAGTTGGCAATGATGCTACGACATGCTTTGATTGAACTGTCAGTTTCAGGGTGTTTGGCAGGAAGCAGGGTCCGGATACTAGTCTTTGGGTTAACGGTGTCGAACATGGTGCGATTAAAGTTAGACGGACGCTGGGTGAAGTGGGCATCGGAAGAAGTGTTCGCTGTGCACATGTAAAAACAAAAGAAGGGTAAGGTCGGCTTTGAAGTGCAGGGACGAAGGACAGGCCCTTCGATAAGATAACGTGTTCAGGGGCAGTGTGGGGTAAATCCTCTCGTATGGTGACATCATCATTGCGTTGGACGGCAGCCTCATCATTTAGGGGCAAGACAGTGTCTAGTTTCCTTGATTTACAGGTGAGACCATAGGCATAGAGATACGAGTAGACTTCCGGAATTTTGTCAACAAGTTTGCATGAGTGCGAATGGAAAGATGAGTCAAGGGACTTGGAGTCTTAGCGACGCTGAGCGTTTGGCGTAACTGGGCACAGTGGTCATTATCATATCTCAGATGTGCCTTCACTAGGTGGGG